ATGTACAAATCATCTCTTGGATAGACGGAATCCTGTCGAATTTCGACTAGACCAAGATGAGGGGTCTTCCTCGTTACTCCCCGATCAAACCAATGGCATCTGAATACAACAGGATAAAGATTTGTGCTACCATGGAATGAAAGTTCATATATTTCTTCAATTCTTCCATAATAGTCTACGCCATCAGTGCCGGGCGTAAAAACCCCGCTATTTGTGGATCTTCGATTGGGCCGCCTCCGCTCGTAGCTTCCTGTGTGAAATCGATATCCATTCATGTCGTAGGCGTCCGATGACTTGACCCTTTGGTCACAGCCGTTGGCAACCTGTCTCAACTCGGCACTGATAGACGCATCGGTTCGGGCCTACAAGCTCAAGCAGGATACATCGTTATATTAATCGGACGTACGAGCAACAACAAATCGGGGCTAAATTGGATGGTACCTTGGTTTCGAACCAGGAAATAAAATCGGGGCTCCCTTGTCCCGCACCCTTGGAAAGAAGGGTATCACATTCCGGCGGGGTTGGTTCCCTTGAATGGGGCTAGTATTCATGAATGAATTCCCTGTAACGACAAACAAGGGGGTTGGATGTAGAATAGTGTGGGATTATTGAAACAAGTCCATTGAGAACTTACGCAATATATGGGTCCACCTCTTCAAGGTTGGTCAGCACATATAACATGATTTTGTGCCACTCCACATTTGTCAGGGGCTTATTGGTCGATGCACCTGTTCTTCCAAGTTGCCCTCGGAAAAGGCTGAGGCTCGAGGCATTTTCGTCAGCATTGTAATGAGGAGGTGGATTATGCACTCTTGGAAGGTTGTCAGAATAATACAATGTTGTGAAGTTTGACACCTCCTCCATAGTGAATGCACTTGCAATGGAAGCCTCAATTTTGCCTTTGTTTTTACACTTTTTCCGAAGTGTCTTTAGGCATCTCTCAATTGGATAGCACCAACGGGCCTACACGGGCCCCCCATTCGTGCCTCATACGGGAGGTGCAATATCAGATGCTGCATCGGATTGAAGAAGCCGGGTGGAAAGATCTTCTCCAACTTGCAAAGCAAGATAGGTGCCACTTTTTTCAAGTCAGCAATCACGGTCCGAGATAACTCCTTGGCACAGAGCTGGCGGAAGAAGTAGCTCAACTCTGCCAGCACTGTCCATATGTGCTCAGGGACAAAGCCTCGAACCATCGTCGGAAGAAGCCGCTCAATCCATATGTGGTAGTCGTGACTCTTCATCCCGTTCACTCGGAGAGTAGTTAAGTTCACTCCCCTACTCAGATTCGCTGCATACCCATCAGGGAACATTAACGTCTGGATCCATTGGAGTACTTCCCTCCTTTATCTGGGGGTCAAGACAAAATCTGCCTTAGGCCTTTTCCATGTCTTGCCGCCTCTAGGAGCACGCATCTCTTGATGTGGTCTATCACACAACTCTGCCAGGTCCACTCTAGCCTTAGGGTTGTCCTTTGACTTTTTAGTTTCCATGATTGTTCCCCAGAGTGCCTCGGCGACATTCTTTTCTGTGTGCATGACATCAATGTAATGTGGGATAAGAAGGTCATCAAAATAGGGGAGCCTCGTCAAGCCCGACTTATGAGTCCACATGTGTTCCTCGCTGTATCCCACGAAGCCATCACCTTCTTGATTCTCCACGAGAGCATCTATCTGAGCACGAACCTCGACACCAGTCATCATCTGTGGTGCAGGTTCTGTCACTACGACACCTTTCATAAAGTTCTTAGTGTCTTGCCTGAATGGATGCTCGGGAGGGAGGAATTGACGATGTTTATTGAACGATGAATACTTGCCACCCTTCTTGAGCCAGATGAACCTCAGACGATCCTTGCATAATGGACATGGGAACTTCCCGTGGACACACCAACCAGAGAATATCCCATACGCTAGGAAGTCATGCATGGAGTACTGGTACCAAACATGCATTTTGAAGGGTGTCTTTGTAGCTCTGTCGTATGTCCATACCCCATCCTCCCAAGCACTGACCAATTCATCAATCAGAGGCTCCATGAAGACACCCATCTTCTTCCCCGGGTGTCCAGGAATTATCAATGACAAGAATACGTTCTGACGTTCAAAGGCGACGCCGGGGGGGGGAGATTGAGGGGGATGACGAACACGGGCCAACATGTGTAGGGGGCAGCCATCAAACCATAAGGATTGAACCCATCTGTTGCCAGCGCAACATGTACGTTACGAGGCTCTGATGCTTTCTCATGATGAATGCCATCAAAGTGGTTCCATGCTTCACCATCGGATGGATGTACCATCTTGTCAGGATTGTATCGTGTGCCCTGTTTGTGCCACGTCATCTGCTTAGCGGATTCCTCGCTCATGTATAGCCGTTGGATCCTCGGCACGAACGGGAGGTACTATAAGATTTTCATCGGGACGGTAAGCTGCTTCTTGTGGCCATCCCCAGAGTCTACCTCTAGGTACCTGGAGGATTTGCACTTCATACAGTACTTTTCATGCTCATGTTCTTTCCTAAAGAGGACACACCCATTCAGACAAGCATGTATCTGCTCGTAAGGCATCTTGAGTCCATCAAGGAGTTCCTAGCACTCGTACAGGCTCTTTGGTAGAACATGGCCCTCCAGAAGCATGCTAGCAATCAACGCCAACATACCATCGAAGTGTTGTCGACCCATGTTGATCTCGACCTTGAACCCCATCACGCGTCCAATGGCATCGAGTTGACAAACCGTTGTCCGATCATGAAGGGGTTTCTGTGCCAAAGACATCATGTCATAGAACGCCTTTGTGGATGCCTCCGTCTCCTCCGCACGTCCATCAGGGATCTATGCTTGTTGATAGTCATCTAACATGTCTGCAACCCCGCCATCATCATCAACATGCTCGAGGCGTGGTCTCACCACTTCCTCTCTCATCCGATGGGCTTCACCGTGGTGGATCCATCGGGTATAGTCCGACATAAAGCCATGCTTCTGAAGATGTATACCCATGTTGTCCTTCTTTTGCCATTTTCTGTTTGCACACATGCTGCAGGGACACTTCATTAGATGTGCTCTATTCGCACCCTTGCTGAATGCACGGTCCAAGAAAGCCTCGGTCTTCTGGCCCCATTCAGTGCTGAAATCACTCTGATTTCTGTATCCCATGTACATCCACTCACGGTCATCCATCCTCTAAAATAGATATCAACGAGTAGCGTAACCATCAACTGCATCTACGTGGTGTTCCTACTATCTAATAGGTGAGGATAGGTCCTAATTCCACCCGCGGATGCGTAGACGAGGTTAGTTTCCATGGTCTACTCCGAGCCGAGACAGAATTTCGACAGCACCTCCCCGTTGTTCTCTAGATACACGTCCTGGCAGGGAGAGTGTGTATCCAGAGAACAACACGGAGGTGATGCCAAAACTCTGACTCGGATTGGAGCAGACCATGGAAACTAACCTCGTCTACGCATCCGCGGGCTGTCTAGAAAACATGGACAATCCGAAACAGATACGGTTATATATATGCAAAGATCTGCATACTTTCAACCGTATCTCTTTCGGACGGGAGACGCCTAACTGGGTTACACCGATCTACGACAACGATAAGGAAGAGAGGTTATTTATACCTAGGGTGGCGGTTAAGTCAGGCTAGCGGGGCAGTGGCGAGTCGGTTAAGTGGCAAAGCGAGGCTGTGCAGGCAGGACCGCAACACCGACGAAGACGATCGGGGTCGCCTAGGCACTACGGGTCCCCTCCGACAGGTCTAGCTCTGCAAAACAAGAAACACAACACTATATGTTGAAAATTTTGGCAGAACCTCCCCTGTACAGGGAGGTTTCCAAAACCTGCAAAAAATAACGGCACGAAGGCCGACATTCACAAGGGCATGAAGGCCGACATTCACGACATTCACAACAGCACGAAGGCCGACATTCACGGCACGAAGGCCGACATTCACAATGGCACGAAGGCCGACATTCACGGCACGAAGGCCGACATTCACAAAGGGATGGTGCATATACCTTGGGCGGTGGCGGGACGTGCACGCGCAGAAAAAGACGCCGAGAACTCCTCCTCCTTCCTCCTCCTTCTCCTTCTCTTCCCCTTCCTCCTTCCCCTTCTCTTCTTTTCCTCTTCTTCTCCTTCTCTTCCCCTTCCTCCTTCTCCTCTTCTCCTTCCTCCTACTTCACCTCTGCCTCCTCCCCTCCAAGAACCGACGGCGGGGGGGGGCGGGCTGGGCAAGATGTCTAGGTTTCTAACCATCCTACGTGACAACGTGTGCGAAATGTTCTCAAATTTTTACCATAGCCTCCACATGTGATGTAAAGACGCATCACCAAGTTTCATGATTTTCGAACTTCGTTTGCATTTTATATAATTAAAAAACACTTCACCCGCAATTTTGTCGCCATGTTTCGTGCGTGAGATGTTTTGAAACTCGGGCGTGCTCCTGGAAACGGCCTCAAAATACAATAAGTAACGCGGATATCATTTTTCCACTCGTCGAATTCCATGATTCGATGCACCTGCAGTTCAAACTTACATTTCCCGGAAAAATGCAATTAAATGAAATAAATTAAGGATATATAGCAAAAAGATCGAGAAATGTGATAAATTTGAGGATGTACTTCAACTCAACTTAATATGTAAGGGTTGAAGAAAAAGTTTGGAGGCAAAAAACAAAAAAAAAATTATGCTTTGCCGAGTGCCTAACGGGGGGCACTCGGCAAAGGTGACGGCAAGTACCCCCGTCAGCTCTTTGCCGAGGGCCCGGCACTCGGCAAAGAGGCTCTTTGCCGAGCGCCGGTCTTCGCCGAGTGCCCGACATTTAGCACTCGGCAAAGCCCGGCTCTCCCGTAGTGCATTACAGAGAGGTGGGCGGCATGCACCCCTGCATCTAAAAATATTTTTTGGCCGTCTGTGTTAATCCGTTTCGTAGCAGTGAAGTTCCTCTAATAGATATGTTTACATATTGATCACTTGCAATTGCAACACATGAATAGTCGTAGAAGAATCATAGAGCACTAGAGTGTTTACCTGATCCAGCGGCAGTAATGGCCTGGCGATACTTCTTGTCCTGCACGTCGCCAGCAGCGAAGACCCCCTTCACACTGGTGTGGGTGGAGCCCGGTTTGGTCACCACGTATCCAGCCGGTGAATCCAGCTCGAGCTGCCCACCCAGGAACTCCGTCGCCGGCGTGTCCCCGATGGCGAAGAAGAGACCAGCCACCTGAAGGTCCTTCACCTCACCACTCACCAGGTTCTTGACCTTGACGCCAGCCAACCGATGGCGGCCGCTGCCGCCGCCGTCTGCGCCGCCAAAGGCCTCGACAACCACCGAGTTCCAAACGACCTGGATCTTGGGGTTCCTGAGCACCCTGTCCTGCATGATCTTGGAAGCGCGGAAGGTGCTCCGGCGGTGGACGATGTAGACGCGGGAGCCGTACTTGGTGAGGAAGCTGGACTCCTCCATGGCGGAGTCGCCGCCGCCCACGACGGCGAGGGGCCTGTCACGGAAGATAGGGGCCGGGCCGTCGCAGACGGCGCAGGCGGAGATGCCGTGGTTCCAGTACGCGTCGGACCCGGGGAAGTGGAGCCGCCGCGCGACGGCGCCCGTGGCGACGATGACGGTCTCGGTGAGGATCCTTGTGCCGAAGCACTGGGACTGGTCGCGGCAGCGCTTCATCAGGTCGCCGCCCATGATGCCCGCGGGGAAGCCCGGGAAGTTCTCGACGACGGTGGTGGTGGTGAGCTGCCCGCCCGCCGCGACGCCGTTGGCCATCCAGCCCTCGAAGAGAACGGGCTTGAGGTCCGCGCGTGCCGCGTAGATGACCGCCGTGTGCGCGGCCGGGCCGCTCCCGATGATGCACACGCGCGTGCGGAGCGGCGCAGCAGGGGCGGATCCCTCCATGGCTGCTGCTTACTTGTCTTGGCCTCTTGGTGCGGCGGCGATCTGTCTGAACTCTGAATTCAGCTCGCAGCCTCGCACTCGTCAGTCTCTTGTTGTAGTCTTCATGGTCGCTGGTCGGTTGAAGTCCCTTTAAATACCAGAAAGACCACCAATCAGTGGCCGTGGTGTCGACGTGTCAATCATGTCATGGTCCCCTCGCCCCGCAATGCTTCTTATGGATTGGGAAAAAAACTAATTTTTCATAAAAATATAAAAATAACCTGTGGCAAACGAAATTTTAATAAAACATATTTTTATAAAAATAATGGATATGATTTTGTTGCATGACTCATAAATAAATATTTTGTAACAAAAAACTACTCAACTTTGATGAGGACCCTAACATAGATGAAAAATGTGGTGTGGACAATCAATTTCGCTAATACTTTAAAATGGTCCCATTCAAATATCTTAAGTGACCTACAAGAGAGCTAGGTCGTCGCTTCCAAAGTAATTATATTAGTAACACCTTATACTGATACAACCTCTTCAAAATGGCACTAAATTTGTACAAGTTAGGAATTGAAGGTCTGTTCGAAAGTGACTGTTCTAGTAAGTCCAAGTTAGGTCACTTTCAAAGTGAATAACTCTAGTAGGTCAGTTATTAGCACATCTAGGAATGAAGCAAATTTGAAGGTAGACAATTGGTATTGTGTGTATTAGCAAAATGGAATATTCAAATATACACCAACTTTTCAAATGTAAGGTGACTTCCAAAGCAACTCTTCTAGTACATATATAGTTGCGTCACTTTCCTTGTGACTAACTCTAGTATGTCACCAAGCACATTTTGGAATTGAGCAATTCTAAAGATATACAGGTTGTGTCACATTCATAGTGACTAACCTCCTCAAAATGCAAACCTGGCCGGGCTCCTTCCGCATAGCTGCTGTCCATGCACTGGGCAGTGGGCAGACATGTATGCGTGCACGCTGCGGCGTCTGCTTAATCTGTATACTTACTATGAGGTAAAACCCTACCTGTATTGAAGAGTGCTGCGATCCTGTTGCGTGTAGGTGCTCACACTGAAGTTTTTATAGGAGTCTAGTGTCGATACAAGCATGTGTGTGTGTGTGTGTGTGTGTGTGTGTGGGGTGGGGGGGTTGGTGGTGTTTGGTAAGGATCGATCGAGATATCACTACTCGGCTAGTCACAGTACATGTATGGGACATTGTTTTGTGCGGACAAACTGTTTTGCAATCACCTGCGGGTCGTGCAGTGCAGAACCCTGTTGGATACAATGCACAATTCGATTTGCCGCTGCTGCCCTCGCTGTCACATGTCTCTAGCCGGCGAGAGCTGCAGAGTAGGCGAGTGGGTCATTGTCTAAGCAATATATGTGCCATTTTTTACCATCTGCCTAAGGATACCGTCTCATCACCATATCTTTGATATCTAAACTCCAAATTAAACAATATATATATGTGCCATTTTTTATCATCTGATGAGGTCTTCGTGAGGGTGAACTCCGATATGCAATTTGGCCTAATCTTGCTGCTGATTTAAACGCGCTGCCTTTTGTCGTTAATAAAAAAAACATGTTCAACATATATATGCCAAGCATCTACACTCACGATACATATATACTATACTTGATTGATCATACAAACATATTGCTGCGGCACCCCAAAATGACTATGAGCCGTTTATTGATTTCGATCATACGGTCACGATGAACTATTAGGAGGTAATAGATTAAATGTATATTTATTAATTTTTATTTTATAAAATAGGATAAATAAAGGAAAGTTTTAGATATAAAACATCCTTTTTCTGGATTTGATTGATGCATGCGTGATCTCTGATATGGTAAATCTTTTTATATATAACTTTGGACTTGATACATTTTGATTTGCATTAAATTTTTAGCGTGTGTATGCATTTTAGGTGAGAGTGGATACGTGATATGATTTTTACCGTGTGTATGCAAATTTTTTAGCGTGACACATTAAAGTTTTATGTTCAATATGATTTTCATGTGCGTGCTTGTGTTAGCGTGTGTATGCATTTTAGGTGAGTGGATACGTGACATGCATGTTAGGTGAGTGGGTAACGTGTTAGTGCATATAACGTAATTTCATTTGCAACTTTAGAATTTGATAGAAAATATGTTTGTCCGTGATTAGGGGATCGGCTTGCATGTGGGGAATCGGCATGCATCTCCTGGATTTCCCTCCCGTCATTAGGGGTGTGTGGCGAGATTTTATTTTGTTTTCCTAGATTTTTTTAATATATTAAGTAATATATAAAATGTGAAAAATCAATGGCTCAGATTGATTTGAAATATTACCTCCTCAGAGAAGTAAAGTTTGTACCTTAGCATTGCCCAACAAAAAAACATGTTCAACATACACACATTTGGCAGTTCGTTTTCATGATAGCATAGCACTGAACAGAGATGCTTTAACGCATGTGATGAACAAGTGCATACACCAACCTATATGTTGGTGAAAGACTCCACAAATAGAGAGTTGATAGTTTGCTTGATGGCATGATTATTGTTATACACATCCCCTTTGTATATAAACTCCATTGTTCTAGCCAGGTTGAATATCCTTTCCAGTAACTCCTTCAGTTGGGCTCTATCTGGTTTAAGCCACTCCTCATTAATATCTTTCCATGATTCTTCTATCATTGCCTTTATCCTTTCACGTGCTAAAGCCACTGAAATATTGTGCTCCTTCATGGAGCTGTCGATGGTTGAAGCTACGTCACAAGTCGTTGCTTCCTGCAAGTGCACCATTATTGCTTCATTAAACTGGTCTAAAAGATTGCATTGGTTAATAACCATATATCTCAAGATACCAATGTCTCTATCGAAAAAAGCTAGGAACATATGTATGCTGTTTCTAAAACTTTATTTACATCATCTAGTAATTAACTTTGAAACTAAGAATGTGTCACAATCTTAATATTATTAACCAGAGGTCTCCAATGGAGCTTACACATTAATCCTGACAAGACGTCAGTGGTAGGAAAAAGAGATAAATCCTTGAAATTTCTCATAAAAACCAGAAACATTTGGCTTATAATTTCGTTGTCTCTAATCATCATTGGTAATAAACAGCCATTGTGTCTTTTCAATTTCCTAAAAAAAAATACAAACCTCAACGTGTAAATAACAAAATATGGATTCTTGATGTCAAAAAAGGTAGGCGACGTGAGTTGATATAATTTAAGCTAATCAACTAAATACATATTAACAATGGACCTATGTGCAATCCAAAGGATTATAACAAATATTGAGATTATATAGAGTATCTAAATAGGCATTGTGCGCTCAGAACAGAATAATATAATCAATTTTGACTAGTTATATGTACTAAATTTATTCCACAAAAGTTTTGATATGTACGTACCATAAGATTCTAGGATATGCAGGAGCACCGTTTGATATGATAGTATATCGAATCTAAACTGGAATATTGTGATGTATAAACACCAGTTTTTGTTTTGTTAGATACATATTGAGGATCAAAAGATTATACCTCGTATGATTCTGAAAGATCATCTGACAACCTCAGAATTACGCAAAGTGCATGCACCATTTTAGGCATGCTAGAAACCCACTCAAGAGGCTTTGTTGTTGCTATTTCTCCCATTCCAAGAAATGTATGAAGCGCAACTTAGTAGTTGGGATGAACTACTTATTGCTGAAACCTGCAAATGCTCATCAACGATTCCTGGGACATACCTCTCATCACGCCATTTCACCTCCATATTATAAGTTCTCACGAGCTCTGTTAACTACATATACCAAATATAGAAAAATTAGCTAGCTACTTAAAAAAAAGAGAAAAAATTGCATATACTTGATTCAGACCATTCAAGAAAGCAAAGAATACCTATAATGGGGTAACCTCGAAGAAGTTATATAACATGTTAGTCACTGCTTCCAACAATATAATGTGGTGATCGACATAGTCATGTGACATGTGGTGAGTCTATGGTGCTTATTGTCAATTGTTTGTATTGGAAATAATGAACATGATGAGGGTATGTGCTCAGCCGTGATTAGGCGGATACATGCTAGATCTACAGGTCAATGGTGACACAATACACAAATTCAGATAGGTTCCCACGAGAGGATCTAATACCCTACGTCTTGCGTTGGTGTATTGTGTTGTTTGTGTCCATATACATATGGCCATCTATATGTTGGCCAGGCCAAATGGGCTAGCATGAGACCAGTAATTTTGGTCCGTCGAAGCAAACACCATGCCCGGGCTAGCAGTGCCCGTTATGCCATGCCATGCCATGCTTGGGACACAAGTGTGGCACAATGTCCTTTTTCCCAATCATATCCTATTTAAGATGACCCATTAGCAGCACGACATATATGCAAAAATGCAATTCCAATAGCTAATGCTCCCTTTGCATAGATTCTAGCAGCTGTAACTAGTCCAGCATTGCCCAGGCCCTTGTCCTTGAGGTTCCACAACTACCGGAGATAGATACTCTTCGCCACATTCCAGATGTCATTGTGGATCACATTAATTATGCAAGCTGATGTGTTTAATTTGACTACTCACCGCTTCAGGCACAAATGAGGCCAATCACTTGACGCCTCCTGCTTCCTTCCCCTGATTCCCGACACCTCTCTCTTGCTAGTCGACCTCCACCAACTCTCAAGGTTTATGTTTATCTAGTGCAGCGTCAATTTTTGAGCCCTAGATTAGAAAAGTTTTTAGTGATCCGATTCACTCCCTCCCACCGTAGGGTCACATATCCATGGCATATCAGTCATTTCACATTGAAGATATGCCCATTATAAGCTAGCACTTGGCTTAGGGCTTTCCTCACAGCAACATGTGGCGACATATATTTGTTGCACTTCGATACTATGGATGTAGATGGTAACCTTGTCACCATGAACTACACCCTTAATGCTATATACTTCTATAGTCTATATCATATTGACATGACTTAAGACAGGCTCAGTCCCTACTTCATGCTGAACA